GCACGAAAGAGGCGCATGACAATGGCCAAGGGCTAAAGGTTGCCTTACTCGGGCGAGGCACGATCTAGTCGCGGATGCACTAGGCGAGTGTCAAGCTTGAGAATTGGGCTGTGCACGTGGGAGCGATGCTCAGTCTTGGGCTAAGGACAAGGCATGTCCTAAGCCAATCCCCCAGGGCGCGCATGAATTGTGATCCTAAGATGGAGCGCCATGACATGTCTAGGGCCAAGGGCCTAGGCATCTTACGGGCGGCACAGGTTGGGGCGAGCCTGCGGGCGAGCCCCATCGACAGGCACAGGATCGTGCTTGAGAAATTCTGGGACAGAAAGTAGGCTGGCCCGCGGTGAGGGGAGTCCGCAGGCACCGCACGGGCGAGCAGGTGCCGCTACCCAACGTGAGGATTCGGGCCCGTGACATAAGTCCCAAAGCCCCAACATATATATAATGCCTCAAATTTCGTCTTGTGAACACCCGCGAATAGCTTCTTACGTGCTTTTCTATACAGAAATTTCCCCAATTTCTTCTGCGAGAAAACAGGCAAAAGCAAATGAATGATAATTAACGAAAAATATATAACAGAAATTTAAAGAAAAAAATTCAGGAATGACGTTTTAATTCAATAGTGCATTGGTGATCAATGCACATTAATTTCCACTCCCCAATTAAAACCATACGTGCTACAGATTTACATTTTTTTTTATAGATCTGTCGCATGCATATTTGGGTTTTGCTTTTGGGTGCCTGTGGATTTTAGCAAAAAAAAATATTTTGCATAGGGATTTTTGATTCTCTTCGTGGTTATTGATCATGGCTCGTTTTAATGAAAATCCTTTTGCAGAAGAAGCTAATGTGAATCCATTTGCGGTATATACACATAAAATCTTATGCTCTTATTAGAAAATTTATGTTTGTTATTTGAAAAATATGATTTATATTGGTGGCGGAGCTAGAAATTCTATTAAGAGATTCAAGAAAATCCCAAAATGTCCTACCTGAGATTTGAACATGTATTAAAATTTTGTTTTTATACTATCTATATAGTATAACTTTCCGACCGTTGAATCCCCTTCTTTGCGTGTGGCTCTGCCGCTGATCAATGGCGGGGACGGAACTAGAGGAGCGGAAGGGATTCAAACCCCTTTCGCAGGAAAATCACACTGTATGTATGGGGTAAAATTTGTGTTTTTTCATGTATATATAAATAATAGATGTTGAACCCTTTGAAGGGGAGCCTCAGCATAATTGGTAAAGTTGTTGCCATGTGACCAAAAGGTCATGGGTTCGAGTCGTGGAAAAAATCTCTTGCAAAAATGCTAGGTAAAACTGCGTACAATAGACTCTTGTGGTCCGGCCCTCCCGCTAGCGCACCGGGCTCCCCTTTTATGTTGAACCCTTTGGTGGAAATCTTGCCTCCACCATAGGTCGATGGGGTTGTTGCATTTTTTTCTTTTTGGCATGTTAGAAACAATATAATTGCCCATAGAGAATATTAGGTTTGAATTATTTTTGTTCATTTTGTCCGGTTAACAGATCAGTTAATTGCATATTGGTATGTCATTACCTCTTGATGTTTTCTTGTTTAGTGTCATTCAATTGGAGAATGTAGTCAAATATTGAGAACGAGCTAGGATTTTTGTTGTTCTTAGGATTGTGAGCTCATTTAGTTACATTAAACTAGCTTCTTATGATTGCACATTGTAGAATTGACTTGATTTAATTGTGAGCTGTCCACCTTGCTTATTTATGCATTATTTTACTTACTAAAATGTTCAGAATACTGGAGGCGCTGCCCGTGGTTCAACAATTGATATTCCTCTTGATAGTGCAAAGGTGAGATAATTTTGACAATTTGAACTCTAAATATATCGCTTGTCACTTTGCCAGTGACCACAGTAATTCCGTGTACATTTGGAAACTAGAGTTGAATGATTTTTTACTTACATAACGATTCAGGATCTGAAGAAGAAGGAGAAGGAACTACAAGCTCGAGAGGCTGATCTGAGAAGAAGAGAACAAGTAGGTTTGCATAGCACTCTATGGTGGCTTCTTGTTATGCCTTTGCTTATCTTCCGTTAAGTAAACTATCCAAAGTTTTGTCAAATAGCTTTCTTCATCTAGAAGTTGTTTATCCTTTTAGAGATTTATACCTTAGTAGAAAATATAATGAACTCCTAGTACTTTTTTTATTACTATTATTTTTATTTTGGATAATATTGGCCTGAGATGGGTTTATATGGAGTAACATCATCAGTGCGGATTCATATAGCCAACATCAACTTGTTCAGGACTAAAGCGTAGTTGTTGTTGTTCTCTACTTTATGTAACTATTGCTATTTTAATATCTGGTTTACATAGAAGTTCTGTTTGAGCTTGAAGGATTAGATGTTTGTTGTGCAGAATTAATGCTATGACCGTATTTTGTAATTTAGGAATTTTATACGCTATTAATTTTCAGCTTTCTTGGTTTCTTATAGGAAGTGAAAAGGAGAGAAGAGGCCTTAGCAGGAGGTATTTCTCCACTGTGTATATATTACGTCGTTGTGTTGTTGAACTAAATCAAAAGTTTTCTTTTGTGAAAATTGATATCGTTTCTGTTCTCCCCTTGTTCTTTGGCAGCTGGTGTTGTTGTAGAGGAAAGGAATTGGCCACCATTCTGCCCTATCATTCATCATGATATTGCAAATGAAATCCCGATCCATTTACAAAGGATGCAGTATGTTGCATTTACTACATTGTTGGGTATGTTCGATTTAAAACCAGCTGTTACATCTTTTTGTTTACCCTCTGATTTACAGATGCTACTAATGCTTCTCAGTTCTCACATTACCAACTTTCTAGCAAGTCAACAACCTTTGATTTTACCTGGCTTACAGACCGATGTGCATATTAATAACTTCACTATGTTTTTATATAGTAGTCCAGCCACCGTCGGAAGATTACTGCATTAAAACAATTGGTCATATTGGTGCATGATCGACCTGGTTTTTGCCTTTTCCCGTGCCAATACTGTTGAAATTGTCAAAAGTCCCACATCGGTGGATGACAATTTTGAATGGGAATTTCACCCTATAAAAGGAGGCCTAATGTTTAGGATTTAAATACACCTCTCATTTGCCTTTTATCTTCTTAAGGCATTTGTATCTTCTCTCTTTAGTATTATTTCACTTGTAATTTTGGAGTGGAATAAAATATTGATTGTGTCCGAGGAAATAGGCAAAATTGGCCGAACCTCGTAAATTCTGGTGTTCTTTTATTGTTGTTTTATTGTCTTGTTTATTATTTAGTGGTTGTCATAATTTTTGGTATAGTAGTTGTGACTCATTCACACTATATACATTTGGCTTCCGCAACAATTGGTATCAGAGCCAAGGTACTGTCTAAGTATGCTCTGTGGTTACAGCATACTTACATATGCATGCCACCTCATTAATCGTCCAATGCTGGCTTGGGCAAAGAATTTTGGGCTGAGGCAATTACATATGCATGCCACCTCATTAATCGTCTACCATCTGCTGCTATTGATGGCAAGACCCCATTTGAAAAATGGTATGAAAAATCTGCTGTAGATTATGACTCCTTGCACGTGTTTGGCTCAATTGCATACTATCATGTGAAAGAGT